TCCAAGGTTGTGTAGATATATCCCTATGTTATCTTCTAATCGTTTTACATTTTTAGATCTTACAGTTAGTCTTTGATTTATTTTTTGTATGTGATGTTAGGGATGGATCCAGCTTTGTTCTTTTGCATGTGGCTATCCAGTTTTTTCAGCATCATTGTTGAAAACGCTCTTCTTTCCTCATGGAATGGTGTTCGCACCTTTGTTGAAAATCAGTTGTATATAGATGCATGAGTTAATTCATGGATTCTCAGTTCTATTCCATTTATCTATATGTCTATCTTTATGCCAGTACCACACTTTTGACTACTGTTAATTTGTAGTACATTTTGGTTTTACGAAGCGCGAATCCTCCAATTGGTGTATTACGTTGATCGATTGTCATTTATTAAACCACCCTTACATACCGTGCATAAATTCTATTTGTTCCTGGTTTGTAATCCTTTTTTAAAAAATTATTTTAAATTGTGGCAAAATATACATAATATATAATATTTACCATTGGAATCATTTTAAGTGTACAGTTCAGTGGCACTAAGTATGTTTACCTTGTGCGAGCCTCACCGCTGTCCATGTCCAGAACTACTTTATCTTGCACAACTGAACTCTCTACCCGTTAAACACTAAGTCCCCATATTCCGCTCTCCCAAGCCCCTGGCACTCGCCTTTCTACTGTTTCTATGAATTTGACTCCATTAGTTACCTTATGTAAGTGGAATCATACAGCATCTTTCCTTTTGTCACTGGCTTCTTTTACTTAACATAATGTCCTCAAGAGTCATCCGTGTTATAGCACCTCAGAATTTTCTTCTTTTGTAAGGCTAAGTAATATTCCGTTGTATGACTGTACACCTTTTGTTTATCAATTCATCTGTTGATGGACGTGTGGGCTGCTTCTACCCCCTTGACTGTTGTGAATAATGTTCCTATAAACATGGATGTAAAAAATATCTCTTTGAGTCTTTTTATTGTTCTGGGTATATACCCAGAAGTAGAATTGTTGGGCCAAATCTTATAAACCATTTAATATTCTGCTGGATTTAACTTTGCTAGTATTTTGTTGCAGATTTTTGCATCTATATTCATAAGGGATATGGGTCTATAATTTTCTTATGATATTATTGTCTGGCTTTGGTATTAGGATAATACTGGCTTCACAGAATGAATTAAGAAGTATTTCTTCCTTTTCCATTTTAGGGCAGACTTTGAGAAGGATTAGTGTTATTATTTTTTAAAAATGATTGGTAGAATTCACCAAGCCATGTGGTTCTGGGCCTTTCTTTGCTGGGATTTTTATGATGACTGAGTCAACCTTTTTTACTTGTATTACGAGTTTGTTAAATGAACATTTGTTAAGGAGAGCGTAGGGGGCCGGACGGTGGGCCATGGTGCAGCGACAGACCGCAGGAGGGACTGAAGCGGAGAAGTTTGCCTCACAGAGCCCCATGGGGAAGCCAAGGCAGGACCCGAGGCAGCACCTGGCTGCATGCCTTTATTAGGGTCTGTGGGTGGAGTGATTTGGGCTTCGTGGGCTGTGGCTGGACTGTCGATTCAAACCCAAAGAGCAGGGTTTTGGATAGTCTCCATGCAGATTTTTTTTTAAGGGGCACATAAGGCATACAGGTGCTGGTAGCAGGGGTGCTGTTTGATCACAAGTCATAAAGGAACTTAATTTGCTCCTGATTCTGTGGTTTGCTATCTAGGGCACGTGCTTCTCGGAGGGGGCTAGTGTCAGTTTAAGGTCCTTGCAGGCTGCTTGCCCAAGCAAAACCCGTGCCGAGGCAGCAGTACCATGGAGTAGTTAGCTGATCTCGAGGTGATTTGTAGGTCTGTTAAGATTTTCTGTTTCTTCTTGAGTCATTTTTGTGTTTCTAGGAGTTTCCATTTAATCTAGGTTATCTGATTTGTTGGCATAAGGTTGGTCATAGTGCTTTTATGTCATACTTTTTATTTCTGTATGGTTGGTGATAATGTTGCCATTTTCACTCTTGATTTTAGTGATTTGAATCTTCTCTTTCTCTTGGTTGGTCTAGCTTAAGGTTTGTCACTTCTGTTGACCTTTTCAAAGGACTGACTTTTGGTTTTATTGATTTTCTCTTTTGTTTTTGTATTCTCTTTCATGTATCTTTGCCCTAATTTTTATTACTTCCTTCTTTCTTGTTTTGGGTTTAGTTTATTCTTCTTTTAATTCCTTAAGATAGAAGATTAGGTTATTGATTTGAGCTTCTGTTGTTTTTTCCCCAATGTAAATGTTTGCAGCTATACGTTTTACTTAGAACATTATATACTGCATCCCATATGTCTTGATATGTTGTGTTTTCATTTTTATTCATCTCAAAGTATTTAATAGTTTACCTTGTGATTTGTTTTTTGACCCACTGGTTGTTTAATAGCCTGTTGTTTATTTTGCAGTTCATGAATTTTCCAAATTGTCTTCTGTTATTGATTTCCAGTTTTCATTCCACTGTGGTCAGAGAAGATATGTTGTATGACTTCAGTGTTTAAAAATTTATGGAAATGTGTTGTGGCTGAACAGATGGTGTATCCTGGAGAATGTTCGATTTGCACTGAGAAGAATGTGTGTATGACTGTTGTTGAATAGAGCATTTCATATATGTCTCTTAGGTCTAGTTGATTTATAGTATGTTTCATGTCTTCTATTTCCTTGTTTATCTTTTGTGTGATTGTGCTACCCACTGTTGAAAGTGGGATTTTGATGTCTTCAAATATTTCCCAGTTTAGTTTTGACAGTTTTTGCTTTTTATGTATTTTGTTATATGTTAGGTGCATATATGTTTATAATCATATCTTCTTGAGCCTTTTTTCATTATATAATTTTTTTTGTGTCTTATAACATTTTATCTTAAAGTCTCTTTGTCTGTTATTGGTATAACCACTCTACCTCTCTTTTGGTTACTGCTTACACTGAATATTTTTCTGTTCTTTCATTTTCAACCCGTTTGTATTTTTGGTTCTAAGGTGCATATCTTGTAGACAGCATATAATGGACTGCTTAAAAAAATTCATTCTACCAACTTCTGCCTTTTAATTGGAGTATTTAATCCACTTACCCTTAATGTAATTACAGATATGGAAGTTCTGCCATCTTTCTATTTGTTTTCTTATATCATTTTTTTCTCATTTCCTCCATTACTACCTGTTTTTTTGTGTTGTATATTTTCTCATGTAATATTTTGATTCCTTTCTTATTTCTTTTACTATGCATCTTTTAGTTATTTTCTTAGTGGTTGTCCTAGAAATTACATGAACATGTTACTATATAGAAATCTAGTTCAAATTATTATCAACTTAGTTTTAATATTACATAAAACCTCTTCTATACAGTTCTGTTCCCCTTTGTGTTACTGTTGTCACAAATTACATCTTTATAATTGTGCAACCAATCGATTTGTAATGATTGTTTCACACATTTATGTAATCGGTCGATTTTTAAATGCTAAACCAGTCTTACGTTTCTAGAATAAATTCAGTCAATAATGGCATGTTATTGTTTTATTCTTATAAAATATTCCTGGTTCAATTTGCTAATACTTTGCCAAGGATTTTTGTGTGTCTGTTCATGAAGGATATTGGTCTGTAATTGTGTGTGTGTTTGAGAGAGAGAGAGAGAGAAATCTTTGTCAAATTTTAGTATCAATAATGCTAGTCTTACGAGTTGAAAATTGTTCCCTTTTCTATTTTATGAATGGGTTTGTGTTAAATTGATACTATTTCTTAATGCTTGATAGAATTCATCAATGAAACCGTCTGGACCTAGACTTTTTTGTAGACAGCTTTTAAAATTATTCACTTAAAAATAGATATAGGGTTATTCAGCTATTGGTTCATTATCAGTTTTGGTATGTTGTGTTTTTTCTTTTTATTAGTTTATATTTTTATTGATTGATTTTAGAGGGAGGGAAGGAGATGGCGGGGAGAGTGAGAGAGAGAGAAAGATAGAGAGAAAGAGACATCAATTTGTTGTTCCACATATTTCTGTATTCATTGGTTACTTCTTGTATGTGCCCTGACTACATATCAAACCTGCAGCTTTGGCATATTGGGACGACCCTCTAACTAGCTGAGCTACTGCGCCAGGGCTGGATTTTTTTCAAGGAGTTTGTTCAATTTATTTAAGTTGTCAAACTTGATAGCATAAAGTTGTTCATAATATTCTCCTAATAATGTTTTTCTGAGGTAACATGGGTTAATGATGTTTTCATGTCCGTAGTAGCATAACTCTGAAAAAATCTTATACTAGCATTATAGCAAACATTTATATAATGCTTATTGCATACCTTTTACTTTTTGGATTATTTAGGCTTTTAGTTCCCACAGCCATTTGTGAAGAGTAGATAATGTCCTCTACATAGTATAGGTGAAGAAATCAAGGTTAAACTAAGGATGCTTAGCTGGTATATTAGGGCTTAAATTATAATCAGGTGGTCTAGGTCCAGAGTCTTTTTTTTTTTTTTTAATGACTATTTACTTTGTCTATCTTAAATGGCAGATATCTGTTCCATTATTCTTTTGGATTGCACTGTCTTCTCTCTAGAAATTACCCTTGCACTCACCGTCTTTGTACTGCTAAGTAGGAGTGTTTGTTTCTTGTATTCCTATTGGAACTTGGAATGCACTTTTCCCCATAAAAGCATTGCATGCGATGGCTAGGCATATTTGAAATATTATTGTTAATGTTCTTTCTTCTTCAGTCACATGTGTTAAAAAAGACTTCTAGGACTTCTCTGGGAAGTTTCACTACAAAATGTGAAACATTTATGTGGGAAAATGTTTATGTGGGAAAATACTAGATGAAATTTACTTTGAGTTCACTTGCCTAAAATGTTAAACTTTAGCTATACGGAAATTGTATTTTTTAATCTCTTAACAATTTGAATTTACTCGTGTTTATAAATCATGATTTTAAAAAGACAAACATGATTGATTGTACACATATTTTATTCTTTTTCACTTTGATTAATTTGTTATTTAATATCTTTTAGGGTTATTCAAATGCTCAGAAGAATATCCTTCTTCAGGTGGATCAGAACTGTGTTCGCAATTCTTATGATGTCTTCTCTTTGTTGCGGTAAGAAACTTCTTAGAGTTCCCCTGCATTTTCTAAAGAATTGTCCTCATTTTGAGTTTGTGACATTTCAGTGTGGGGAAATGTATGGGAGCTCTAGACGCTATTATTCAGGCTTGGCATTTTTTAGTGAGAGCTTCATAAATTTTGTAGCTACAGTGATTTAGGTTTATCTCTTTCACAAAGCCTTTGGAAAGTCATTTCCTTTCTTTGGACAGTGGGAGAGAATGATTGGAAGCCAGAGATCTTAAAACAGGGATGTGAGCTGTTTCCGGTCTTCTGCACTCTAAAGAGCAGCAAGCAGAGGTACAGAATTTAGGCTTATCAGAATTTTAACAACTACAGCATTACTAGAAAAGCCCTCCTATAGTCCTAGACATGGCTTAGAGTTTTGACCTGCTCTTCATCTTTTAGAAGAATCATGTTTGGCAAGGCAAAGGAGCTTTGCATGAATCTCATGCTCAGAGGCTTAACTGCCTCAGCTCTGTATTTTAATAATGTCTGGGCTTAATTTTGAAAGATTTTAAAATTTGGTTTTAATTTTCAGTGTGGTAGATCATCTAAGACATTTTCCCAAGAGGCAGGTTACCAAAATAAATGCAATTCAAAGTAAAGTTAACAGTGACACTCAACCTATGTTCACCCTCCTCAGACAGATGGTTCATTGAAATTTGATTTTGGCAGTATTTTTCTAATGTTTACATAACACATCATAAATTTCAGACCATTAGACAGCTTTTATATATCTACTAGAGGAAGAGTCCAGAAGAAAGATTGGACTCTTCTCCAATTGGATGATTATTTGTTTTATAAACATTATGAAATGCCCTTTCCTTTGCAAATCTTGAATTTTATTATACATGATAGAGAGTTTGGTCACATGAACTGTATAAATTGCTCTTAAGAGACAATGATTTCAACTAAAGTAACCACACACATTTGGTGACTTTTGATTCTTATTTGAGAGGTACTTTCACTTTGAATTCTTAGACTATGTAACAGAATAAACAGGATTAGTAATCAATGGTAGAGAAAGCAGAAGGCGTCAAAATATGTAACATATTTTTGGGACTACATTAAGTTTTAATTATGGAAAATAAGAGTGCACAGAAATAGTTTGAAATGTGAGTGAGCCACTAGTAATTCTTGACCTGTTTTCCTCGGTAAAATGAGAGCATAGACACTATCATTTTAAAATCTTTTTCAGGTATGAGATTCTGTGATCTTATTAGAGAAATCAGTAGAAGTAAAAGAGAAAGGGATGCAAGGTCAATGAGAAGAAGAGGATTTGGGAAAGGCAGCATCCTAAAAATCTAGGAGACTAGGGATTCATTGACAGCTCTGTTATGATACGGGAGACTGGGAACTGAAGAAAGGGTGTGGGGTAGCGGAAAGCAACAAGGCATAATAGGGAACATGTCCATTAATTGGACCCTGACTTTAATTATCCCAGATTTATGCAATTCATGTAACCTCCATGATTCTTCTAAAAGGTAGACATGGTGAAGTTAAAAATATATGTAATATAGAAACATTTTCACATTTATAATCTCATTCTCTTAGAAACCTTTTGTGATTACACAGTAGCGTAGAGGCTGAACAGGAGGTGTTAAAGGATTTATATGCCTGAGGGCACACAGCAAGTAAGAACCAGGCTGGAGGCTGGTATTAAGATTTTCCGACAAGCATGTTTTGTAGATCCTTTTCACAGAATGCCTTTCCCAGGTGGGTGGTTATGAGATGCACATAGCATAGTGACAGAGAAAATTTTCTTCAAATCGTAAGAGCCCTCCATAAATATAAAATCATCAGGTTAATTTGGTGGCTGTTCAACTATTTAACACTGATCTTGCAATGATATGGTCTCTTAGGGGTTTCATTTCTAGGGGGCCTCTCAGTTTCCTCAGATGTGTCAACAATTTTAATTACCTTATTCACAGTGGCCTTCTCTTCACCATTGTGTAAATCATTTATAGCTGCTAACACAGATACACTTTTCTGAACTAGATCAAGTGTCTATTTGTCAACCAAGTTACCAGAACCCAGAGAGTTACTCTGAAACTAGAAAGTTCAAATTGTACTTGTCCAAGTTAATGAGTAAAATGCAACTTTCTCTGAAAATTCTCTCAGGCACTAGTAAAGAGTAACCATCATCTTCTGCTTAATCAAAAGCACTTATTTTCCCACAGTTTTTGCTGATATATGTAAAGTGCTTTCTGGGAAACAATTTTGTACCTATCAGTTTTGTTCACAGTTTTCCCCTCTTTAACTCAGCCAACAATGTTTCTGGATGAGAATTAAAACAAAAAAATCTTTTCCTTTCCTGATGCTTTCTTGGTTTGTGAAATTGTTATTTCTTGATCTGTAATCACACAGAGTCAGAATTCTTTAACATCACTTTTAACTCCACAAAATTCTAAGTGCTCTTTGGAGTCAGGATTAGATTCCAGGTCCTCTCATTCTGTTCTTCAAGAGTATATTCTAATTAATAACTTACACTGTGTTATGTGTGACTGTCTCAAGAAAATAGAAAACCTTTAAAACTTTTTATTTATTTATTTATTTGTTTTTTTGGAAAGGAAGAGGGAGGGGAGAGAGAGAGAGAGAGAGAGAGAAAGAAAGAAACATTACTTTGTTGTTCCACTTACCTATGCATTTTTTGGTTGCTGCTTGTATGTGCCCTGACCTGGGATTGAACCTGCAACCTTAACATATTGGGACAATGCTCAAATCAACTGGCCAGGGTGAAAATAGGAAATCTTGACTAAGGCAAGGATTTTGGAGCACCTAAGACCAGGGTGTTAAAACTCCTTCAGGTGGAAGCGTTAAACCTTTTTCTAGGAAGACAATGACCTTATGTTTTATTCATATTTTTTCACCAATAATTAAGAATTTAGGCTAATTTTAGTTGTCAAAGTAATAGAAGCTCTTTCTAAATTTGCCTTCAGTGTGTGATGGTAGTTGAATTTTTGCTTCTTTAACCCTTAGAAATTCCTGGATTAAGGGTTAGTTTTTTACGTAAGCAGACATTTAATTAAGAGCCACTTGATCTTCACCACAAGGTGTCGATGTTGCTCTTTAACTCACATTTGTAATTTATTTTAACAGTTTTGAGGTGAGAACTTTTTTCTATTATTCCTTCTACAATGGGTTAAGGAGTTTCTAGATTTATTAGATAGCTTTTTCCTTTTGGTTCTGTAGATTTTTTTTTTTTATCCTGTTGGTGATAGGAAGGTTTTGAAAGATTCGAGAAGAGGAAGGCCAGCATGGTCAGGTGCGCAGTGCAGGGTGCCGCCCGCGTAGCAGTGGGGAGCGGACCTGCCGGCGAGGCGGATAGTGCGGAGGCCTCTGTGATCCTCCCTGTTCTCTGAGGGGGGAAGGTTATTTCTGATGCTTAAAAACTCATTTTTTCCTTCGTACTTCCTTAAAAGGTAGCTCTATTGTATGGAATAAGTAAGAATACTTCTAGTTTTCTTCTAGTATAATTTTTATTGTTTTTTTCCCCTTCCCCTTTTCACTGGTCCTACTTTAGCTAGTTTAGTAATTGGAGGTATGGTGGGGAAATCATGGGCCCTGCACTGAGATTCCAGTTGTACAGTTGTCATATGTCCAAAACTGGATGCAGGTCTTCGGGCAAGTAACTTAAATTTGGTATGCCTCAAACTACTCTTGTAAAATGAAGATAGTATTTGTCTCATAGGAATTTTATGAGAATTCAATAAGGTAAAATACTTGAAAGGTCCTACTGCAGTTACTGGCATGAAGTAGATACTCAATAAATAATAGTTTTCATTTTCTCCTTTACTTCCCCCATCTTAGAATCATCTTTCTCCTTTATGCCCGTGTTCTTTTTTACGTCACCACTAGCTTTTCCAGTATTCACAATTTTTCCTTCTTGCCTTTCTACTATGTACCACCTTCGCTTTTAGAGTTGCTTTTATTAATCCTCAACAGTCATGATAAAAATTGTTCAAAGTGTATATTTTTTTCTCCCTAATGACATTGAAAACTTCTTGAAAGAAGGGATTATTCCTTTCTTTCTATCTTATTGACAGTTCTCAGTTTTGTTGGTATTCCCGTGGATCCCAGAGCCCTAGTGACTGTGGTCCTAGGACCCTTTTGCATCCCTCTCTCCCCGAGTACTCGCTTCCACGACTTCAGCTTCAGCTAACACATCCACGTGTTAATAATTTTCAAATCTCTATCTCTAGTTCCTACCTTTTCTTTGGATTTCTGATCTGCCCCCCCACCCTACCCAGGGCCATTAGACATTTTTATTGATTTTTTCATATTTTGTGGGAACCTCAACCCTAACCTGCCGAGAGCTACACTCATCTGCTTAATTTTCCTCTTCCTTTTTTTCCCTCCCTGTCTTGTCTAGTGGTATTATCAGCATTTTGGGCACCCCCAGGTGAGCACACTCCTCTTTGTTCTCATTTCTGTTTTCCTGGCCTATTTCCTGACCTCCTAACTGATGTCCCTCCTACCAGTTTTTCTTTCGTGAAAGTTATTATTTATTGAGTACTTACTTTGTGCCAGAATTATTCCAAGTGCTTTACGTTAATTAACCCTCTCAATTCTCACTACAACCCTCTGTGGTAAAACTATTCCTGTCCTTATTTGCAGATGAAGAAATCAAGGCTCAAAGCAGTTAAGTTGCTTATTCAAGGTCGCACAACGAGTGTTAGCCTGTATTCAAACCCAGACAGCTCAGCTCCTGAGCCCATGATCTTAACCAGTAGTACATCTTGCTCTTTTTAATTTTGTACTCTGCCACTAGTATAATTCATTTGTCACATTTCTGCCAGAGTGACCTTTTAAAAGATATATCAGTTTTGTCATTCATTAGATTTAGAAATCTTTGAGCAAATGTGGTATTCAAAAAACATTGTTCTAAACACTCCATAGGTACTTGTATCCTTATATCAAGTCCTTCTACACTGCCTGTGCAATTAATAGCTAGCATTTATTGAGCACTTACAGTGTTACAATTCTTCATTGTC